GCCCAAGAAGGCGGCCGCCGGCGGAGGCGCTGGAGCGGGAGCCGCCAAGAAGAGCCCCAAGAAGCCCAAAAAGCCGGCCGCCGCCGCCAAGAAAGCCGCCGCCAAGAGCCCCAAGAAGGCCAAGCCGGTCAAGCCCAAGAAAGTGGCCAAGAGCCCCGCCAAGGCCAAGGCCGTGAAGCCCAAGTCGGCCAAGCCCAAAGCCGCCAAGCCCAAGGCGGCCAAGGCCAAGAAGGCGGCCGCCAAGAAGAAGTAGAGCAATGCCTCCGCCGCCGCCGCCGCCGTCGCTCTTATCGAAACCCAAAGGCTCTTTTAAGAGCCACCCAAATCCTCCGAAAAAGAGCTGGAGCCCTCTTTCTTACCTCCTCCTCCCTTTTCCCCCTCTGGGTTAAAAAAATACTATAAGAGCCTTTTATTTAATAAAAGTTTTTCCTCAAAGTGGGGTAATGGCTAGACTGGCATCGCTATCCAAACTTCTGTTCCTGAATGCAGATGGTTTGGGCTTCATTTCCCAGAATCCCTGACCGTTGTGGCCCAAAGTAGCCGAGGCTAATGGGAACTGAAGTCCAAAACAAATGCCTGGAGGGACCAGAAGCTTGGGCAGCTCTGGGTGGGTTTAAGTGTTGGTTTGACGAGACTCGAGATCGGGGTTCAAGTCTCGCTCGGGCATAAAGCCCACAGAGACTTATTCTCAGCCTCAGGATGGCTGGATACTGTTGTTCGCCTTCGTTTCCGACTTGTGGCAATATCATCACAGGGTTTTCTCGGCAAGTCTGAGGCTGAGAGAGTGCGCCTGCAAGTCGCCCCTGATTTATAGCGACCGACTTTATCCGGGGCTGAGAGAGTGTGACTCACCCAAGCCGGTTTCCATGCCCGAGCTGGGATTCGAACCCAGGTCTCCGGAGTCCTAGTCCCAATACTCAAAACCACTAAGCCACTCTGGATATATGGGTTCAAATCCTCCCCCCTCCCTCGGCTCAGCCATGGAAACCTACTGAGTAACTTTTAAGCAAGTCACACTCTCTCAGCCTCAGGCAACTGGGCAAAGCTCCGCCGAAGAAATCTTGCCAAGGAAACCCCACGATTTTAGGTTCGCTTTAGGCGGGGGTTTGCCATAAGTCGGAAACGATTTGAAGGCGCACAACAACAAGAACAAGGCTGCATCCACACTGGAGAAATAACCCGGTTTGGCGCCGCTCTAAGTGTCCTGGCTCAAGGCTATGGAATTCTGGGAACTGGAGTTTGTTGTGGGCCTAGAGTGGCTCGAGGCTAAGAAATCCTGGGAGTTGTAGTTCGTTGTGGCTCCAGAGCTAAAATGTCTCTCGCGAAGCTACAGCTCGCAGAATAATTCCCTAGCATTGAGCCAGGACAGTTAAGGCGGTCTCAAACTGGATTAATTCTGCAACGTGGATGGCAGCCTCTGTCAGAGAGAGCTCTGGTGCCACGATAAACTAAGAACACTTCCCAGAATTCCCTAGCATTGAGCCAGGGCAGTTAAAGCGGTGTCAAAGTGGGCTATTTCTGCAGTGTGGAGCCTGTTTCCTCGGATGAAATCTAGGATAAAGTTCTTTCTTTCAGTGAGTCTCAAAGGGGCTGCAAAGATCCCTTGGCATACTTGATTTTATTTCTTTATTTCATTTGTATGCCGCCTTTGTAATCCCGGTAAGGTCTCAATTAAAAGAAAGCAAAGAGCCAGCGTGGGCCATGAAGCCGACGGGGTGACCTTGGGCAAGTCACACTCTCTCAGCCACAGGGGAAGGCCATGGCAAACCTCCTCTGAAGAAATCTTGCCAAGAAAAAAAAACCCAGGATAGGTCCCCCCCTTTAAGGTTGGAAACGACACGAAGGCACACAACACACAAGTCTTGGGTTTAGGGAGGGAGCGACTCCCAAAGAAATGTCAAAAATGTTTGTGTTTGGGCTTTTTTGTGTGAATGGACACGTTTTTCGGTCCTGTCCAATCGCTGGTCTCTTTCGTCCAGGTTGGTGTGACTTGTGATTGGCTCTCGTTCGACATTTGTCTAAAAACGTCCAATGGGCGCTAGGGATCAGGCTGTCCAATCAGGAAGGGCAGGAGCGTTCGAATACAAGAACGTCTCCTTCTTCTCCAATAGAAAAAGAGCCCTGCGATCCGTTCATTTGCATAAAGCTCGGGTATAAAAAGCGGCGGTTCGTTGTTCCCTCCCCGTTGTCGACAGAGAGCGTTGGAAAAGGAAGATGCCGGATCCAGCCAAGTCGGTCCCCGTTTCGAAAAAGGGCTCCAAGAAAGCCGTGACCAAGACCCACAAAAAGGGCGACAAGAAGCGGAAGAAGGTGAGGAAGGAGAGCTACTCCATCTACGTGTACAAAGTGCTGAAGCAAGTCCATCCCGACACGGGCATCTCCTCCAAGGCCATGAGCATCATGAACTCCTTCGTGAACGACGTTTTCGAGCGCATCGCCGGCGAAGCCACTCGCTTGGCCCATTACAACAAGCGCTCCACCATCACCTCACGGGAGATCCAGACCGCCGTCCGGCTTCTGCTGCCCGGGGAGCTGGCTAAGCACGCCGTCTCCGAGGGCACCAAGGCCGTCACCAAGTACACCAGCTCCAAGTAAAGGCAGAAAGAAAGCCCCCCCCTTTCCTCCTCCTTCTCCTTTTCCATTGGAAACCAAAGGCTCTTTTAAGAGCCACCCACCTTTTCACCAAAAGAGCTCTGGTCACCCTTCATGGTGGTGTCTGCCTTCAAGTGGACCCCAAGGCAAAAAGATGCTCATAGGGTTTGTTCAGAGGTTTGCCATCATTGCCTTCCTCTGAGGCTGAGAGAGTGTGACTTGCCCTGTTCTCCAAGAGTTCTAGTCCAATGTCCAAACCACTACGCCTCACACTTTTCCTTAGACATAATGTGTGTGTGCACTGTGTTTCCAACCTATGGCAACCCCAAGGGGAACCTATCATGGGGTCTCCTTGCCATTTTTCTCCAGAAGAGGTTTGTCATTGCCTTCCTCTGAGGCTGAGAGAGTGTGCCCAAGGCCACCCAGTGGGGTTTACATAGCTGAGCAGGGATTCAAACCCTGGTCTCCAGAAGAGGCTCCTAGTCCAGTGCTCAAACCCCTACACCATTCTGACTTATTAAATATTACATTCCAACAACAATCTCAAACAATCTGACATCACACAAACTTTATAAACAAATACACTGCAGTACATATGCAAATAAATCGACTGACATAAATTATAAAATAACTTCCTCCAAGGTTGTACTATACTTGATTTGTCATACTAGACTTTCTCCTACATAGAATATAACTCTAGACTTTTTCCTTTTACGAATTGTTTTTCTTGGTCCTATTTCTGCTCCTTATTAATAATTTACTTCTCTATGAATCTTAGATTTGTCCTTGCTGGATATTTTCAATTTTTCCTACACTTATCCATTTTTTTTAGCCCAGTATTTTTTTTTTAAACTAGTATCCATTCTTCTTCAATCTTATCTATTATACCTTCTCTTGTGTTATCTTCTCTCGTTCTCTTTTTAAAGGCTGTTCTTGTTGTGTGCCTTCAAGTAGTTTCTGAGTTATGGCGGCCCTAAGGCAATCCTCTCATGGGATTCTTCAGAGGCTGAGAGATTGTGACTTTTCTCCCAAGGTCACCCTGTGTCTAAGGTGGAATTCAAACCCTGTTCTCCAAGAGTCCTAGTCCAATCGTTTCCAACTTATGGCAACACTAAGATCATGGGGTTTTCTTGCCATTTTTCTCCAGGGGAGGTTTGCCATTGCCTTCCTCTGAGGCTGAGAGAGTGTGGCTTGTCTAAGGGTCACCCAGTGGGTTTCCATGGTTGAGCCAGGATTTGAACCCTGGTCTCCAGAATCATAGTCCAAATGTTCAAGTTATTCTGCCACCCTGGATCCTCTACATTTGGATAATTTCGTTGCTCCTGATTTTGTTATTTCCACGTCACATTTGATTTGTAGTAAATTCTTTTTTCCTTTTCCTTTTTTAAAAAGGTACTAAAAAGGCATGTTTCTTTGGAGAGGTTTTGCCATTGCTTTCCTCTCAAGCTGAGAGAGTGTGACTTGCCTATAAGGTCACGCAGAGGGTTTCCATGGCTGAGTTGGGATTCAAATCCTGGTCTCCTGTAATTATACAAATTATGATCACCATGATGGCTTAAAAAAAGTGACCCCCCCCCCTTTCTCTTCCGTTTTCAACTAGTCATGGCGGCTGAGGTAAAATATGTTGCTTTGTATTCAAGTCATTTCAGATTGATGGCCACCTTATATTTATTTTTGATTGAATGATTGCATTTATACCCTGCTTTTCAGAAATGCTCTCAGAAGACCCTATCAGGGGTTTTTGGCAACTTTTTTCAGAGGGGGTTTGCCATTATCTTCCCCTGAGGCTGAGAGAGTGTGGCTTGCCTAAGGCTACCCAGTGGGTTTCCATGGCTGAGAAGGGATTTGAACTCTGGCCTCCAGAGTCAGTCCAACGCTCAGCCATTACACCACACTGGTTCTCTCTTGTCCCCTTTGCCCACAGCAATATGGACACTAAGGGGGGTTGCAGACTGCCAGAAATAGTGCAAATTGAGTCCACTTTAAGGGTTGGGGTTAGTGCTAGGGAATCATGGGAATTTTTTTTCCTGAGACATTGAGCCTTCTCTGTCAGAGAACTCTGGTGCCACAATAAAATACAGTTCCCATGATTCCCTAACCCTAAAAGTGGACTCAATTTGCACTATTTCTGGCAGTCTGCAACCCCCCATGCATGATGGCTTAAAAAGAGTGAAACCCTAAACCCGTTTTGAGGTAGTCATGGCTGTTGACCTAAAACAAATGGTATACCTTAAGAGGCGTCTCTTATTTCTTGAGACAAGCCTTGGGTGCCATTGGTCATTTTTGATTTACCAGACGAAACAATGCCACGAGGGTTTATTATTCGTTTGACAAGGCAAGAGCGACTAATAATTGGCAGGAAATAGGTTTTGAGGAGAAGACAAAATTCAAAATTTGAAAACGCCCGCCGTTGGCGGTTATTGGCCAACTCTGGGAGTTCCCTCAGCGCTTTTTGCCCAGTAGCTGCAGCCGAAAGGGACGGCGTTTTTCACTCTATGTATTTATTTTATTTTATTTTACATAAAATAGCCATAGAGGTTTGCATAAAAACAACACAACTCTGCCAAAGGACGGGGAAAGGAGTCGAATATTCGTTATTAAAAGTCGTTTTACTCCCTCCGCTCTCCACCTCATAGAAGAAAAATACACGCAATGTTTTATTATTTAAATAGGGGAGGATATAATAATAATAATAATAATAATAATAATAATAATAAGTGGTGGTGGTGGTATTTTTTTCTCTGCGGTCTTATTTTCTTTTTCCAAATATGCATTTTGTGAGGGAAACAAATGGCGGTTTTTACAAACATGACCGTTGGGGCTCTCGCGCTCGGCGCTCAGGGGCTAACCGACATTCAGCGAACACAATAATTACGTCACAAGAGAGCGGGAAGGAGAAGCAATCACAAGAGGGAGGCAACAGTTCAAAAAGAAAGGCGCACGTTTTCAAACCATCCAATGATACTTTGGGTTTTCAGGAAGCAACCAATCAGAAAACGAGAACTGTTCCAATCCGAAGCGCGGTTTTCGTAGCAGGAGCCAATCAGAGCCGAGGAGTAGGGTATAAATACCGTCGTCGCCTCAACGGTTGCTTCAGTGTTCGTTTGAGCTTGGTCAGAGATGGCTCGTACGAAGCAGACGGCGCGGAAGTCGACGGGCGGGAAGGCGCCTCGCAAGCAGCTGGCGACGAAGGCGGCGCGGAAGAGCGCCCCGGCGACGGGCGGCGTGAAGAAGCCCCACCGCTACCGGCCGGGGACGGTGGCCCTG